AGTCTTTGTTTTGCTGTATATGTTCGTTTTGTTCTTTTTTAAACAAATGATGATGATACTCCTATTACTATGACACTTGGTATCTAGCTTTTGGTTATAATTTTACTTGTGAATATCATAACGACTCTGAAAGTAAGACAAATAATACGTTCTGTTCGAAAAAATATATATTGAAAATTATATAAACTACATGTAATGAAAAGTCGTTGAAAATAACGAATAATAGAAACAATTGCAATAGAAAGCCAGTGAAAGCAACTGCGATAATACGAACTATGTGAAGGGGAAGACATAATAATACAAATATAAAACGTGTTGGTAAAGACTGAACAATGAAAACAATATAATACTACAAAATTTTGCAAGGTCAAATCACAGAAAATATTATATTTATATCGAAATATCTGAAAAGAAAACAAATGAAAATAATGCTTACGAATTACAAGCAAGTTTTTTAAAAATCTCAACCTATATCGAACCTCCTTTTTTGTTGATATTTGTATAAATATTCAATAATTAAACACTGCTTTCTCCTACAGTTTGAATCGATATTTTGCTTTAAATAGATATTTATAGATAACCTTAAGTAGATAAGTATAATCCTGTATTTATTCTTTACCCAAATATTTACGAAAATGCACTAAAAACCAGTTTAATTCAGACTGGATAAGATGCAAGATTTAAAATGTTGTTGTATAGGAGTTGATTTCTTTGGAAAACTTCCTACCTTAAAAGTAGGTATAGCATCTCAGCCAAATTCTTTAACCTACTCACCTTGCTCTCTGGTCAACAAGTTGGAGGACCGCAAGATTTTAAACACGCTATTTAGTGGATAAATATGGGTAAGATCTCCATTTCTGGAGTATGCTGGAGGCTTTAAACCACAAGATGAGAACACAGTATTTCACTCATTATAAGTTGGTGGAGCTTTAGAAACAAAATATTGACGAATGGTCTGCAAGGGAGCAATTAAACAAAACTCCCATTATTTTGTAAAGTCTGCGTTATGCAAATCCAGGCAACTAACACGACGAAAGGTGTTCCAACTCGATATTAGGTGGAGGTCCTAATGATATGAACAGCCAATGTATTTACGAAAATACCATCTACACAAACTAAATCAATTATGTTTTAAAAGTATTGTTGCGTCAGCGAGGTCACGTGACTAGTATCACGCCACCCGTTTTCTAGAAATATCCTGTTCCTTCAAGAATGCCCTAGCATTTACTAGATTGGGGGTAGCTGGTATATATAAGATGGTCACAACGTGACGGGACAACAGTGTAATGAGTAATTGAATGTATGCAGACAAAATATTATTGGCCACGTGAGATATAGCGTTTGTTATAGCGCGACTGTTGAAATTAAGTGTATCGTAAAGTTGTATTCGGAAAGAATAAACCAGTTTTATTGAGAAAGGATTTGTGTCGCTAAAGGTTCGTCGGAACGAAGTTACGGAAAATCAACTAACGAACGGAGACGTAACAGTATTTACAGCAATACCCTATACGCCCACTACATTTACAGTATTTAAATAAAATATAATGTAGAGAAAGTACATTTTATCAGCCACTTCTAAAGTAGTTGTGTCTCTACTTGAAATTCTTTTAGGCAGGACTAGAGTAAATTAATCTAGGAGACCTTTTATTTTCCCCTTTTTATTAACCATATTTTTTTGTGCCAGCAATACCAAGTGTGGGGTGCGCGTATACCCGATTCGATTTTATAACTCTTCAGGATCTTTAACAGCCTACCCTCAAATTGAAATTCTTTTAGGCAGAATTAGAGTAAATTAATCTATGAGACCTTGGGTTTTGTCAAATTCACCAATCGAAATGGTTTGACCTCCTCAGTTCAAAACCATAATTTGATCTCAAATCGGTCAAGATATAACAAAGCTATGAGCTAAAAGTTTGTACTTGAAAACAAACAAACTCAAGAGTGTTCTATGAGTCGCTATGTCACGGCTAAAAAGTGGCTAGAATAAATTTCTTATGCACTTTTATAAACAAAATAGTTACCTGAGAGTGTTAGCTTCAATCACTTTCAAAAAATCCTCACATTATGACGCCCAGCCTTCGTAGAAAAATCCAGTTCTTTAGTAATGCATCATGGGTATAAACGTCATATTTTACATGTTGAAGGTGTACTTTGGATATCACATATAAATAGATAAAACAATTATCTCAAAAAAAAAGAAAAAGAAAATAATTGCAAAATTTAAAAATGACTAAGAATAAACCTTAACTTAAAGAGTAATGATATTTTAGAAAGACTGCTGCAACTTTCTCAAAGTCTTTAGATTCTACCAATGGCTACAGTTCTAGTATGTTTATAAATATTATTGTACTGCCTATAAAGTCTTGGATATTGAAATTATTTGTTCCTTCTCTTATGTATGCTTAGTTCTTCAAACCACTGTATTTAGGGTTATCAGAAAATAAGTTTATATGGTAGTATAGGATTCACTATTTATGACGGCTGTTAATGTGAAGAGTCCAGTGTTATTCACAGTTTTAATAGTATGTGTAATAATATTTATAAAAATTCTAACCTTCTTTAAATACTAATGTAAAACAATAAGGCTTAGTATTAGATACTGTTGCGTCATCGAGATCATGTGATTCTCACGCTCTCTACTATCTAGAATTATCCTGTACTTTGGCGAATGTTCTAGTTCTTACTAGATATAGGGTAGGCGGGTATATAAAAGAGGGGAATGTAATGTGTGTGTAGACAGTGAGTAATTGAACTGCAGTCACAGGGTATTGTTGAAGTTACTGTTTGTTTTAGCACGAATATTGAGTTATATTCGGAAAGAATAAACCAGTTTTATTAAGCAAAGACTTGTGTCGTTAAAATTTCGTCGGAACGAAGTTACGGAAAGTTAATTAACAAACGGAGACGTAACAATATGTTACCTTGTTTAATATACCTTGCTGAAAATGAAATGTGCATATTCCGAAATTCAAGTATTAATGTCTGTTGCCTTCTCACAAGTGTCAAATGTTTGTTGTCATACTTTCTTTTCATTATTGAACCTTAATTTTCTTTGCTGTTGAATAAGAATGGCTAAGTCTGTCATTTCCCTTTAGCAGGTCAAACATAAATGTTTTTAACATATTTTACACATTAAGAAAATAGCAACAGTGTTTGTAAATAAGTATATGAGTGATGCATTAATTAGTAGTTTTTGTCTTAAGCTATCGTATGTCGAATGTGGCATTTAAGGTCATGCCAGATTTTAGAGCATTAAACTTTTATGCATACATAAATGAAAAAAAAAAAATCCAAAAAGAGTGTTATGTTGATAAGTTTTTTTCTGCAGAAGTTCAAAACTTGTTGTTTTGTGTGGCTCGGCGTATCCCTCCAAGTGAACGAAATCAAAATTTATCTGGCATCGAACAGTTTACAACAAGGTTAGACGTGGCAGGCAAAATTTTGGCCATTGATACAAGGTAAGTGTATTTGTTTTAAACTTCACTTGGTGTTCTTTACAACTAGAAACCACTTTCCTTATATTTTATACATATTGCATTGTTGAGGTTGAAGTAGAGTTCTAATATTTATGTTTTTCAGAAAGATAAGCAAAACGTGACACAATAAATTCATTGCATTAGATTTTTATTGTATTGTTTATGTCTTAATACATTACTCATTTTTTTGTTAAACTTTCTTTAAAAATTATGATTACGAGACTTCTTGAAAGTTGGTTGTTTATTTGGCTTTGTAGTATTTTTTTGTGTTTAAATATTTTTTATGCCTAAAAGATGGCCTAGTGATTAGTGTACTTACCTCATTGAGGGCTTGAATCCCAACAGCAAACACTCACTCTTTCATCTGTGGAGAAATTATAATATGACGGCCAGTTCCAATATTCATTGGTAAAGAGTAGCCCAAGTTTTGGCCGTGATTGGTATTGACTAGCTACCTTCTCTATAGTCTAACACTTTTAAATTATGGACAGCTAGTGCAGATAGCCCTGGAGTTGCTTTGCATGAAATTCAAAACAAACTAACAAAGCCTAAAAAATAAACACCTTTTCCAAGAATTGTTTATATTGCAAAGATAAAAGTTCCACAAATTAACTAAAGGAAACAAGTTAACAGAAAAGGAAGAAGTAAAAATTTATTTTTTATTTATTTTGTTAAAAAATTGAAAGAGACCTGTAGATAGTTGGTTGAAACATTTTATTATGTTACTAGTCATACCTATGGTTTTGGTAATTGAACGTTTCTGTGTAGTGGTGTGTCCTCAACATACAGCCAGTATCTTAACAAGGACCTGGTTGAAAGAACTGTCCAGGAACTGTGCCACTCAAGTGATCTTCATAAGTTGAAACATCATCTTAATGAAAGTAAGGTTAAATATTAGTTCATCTAGTTATTGGAACTTACACTCAAGGTCAATATTTGAAAAAGTATTAGATTTTCTAGATTGTCAAATATACCACATTCTAAGTTTGAGATATTTTCTTTTTACAAAAATAATCACAATATATATATAGATAGATAGATATTCTGTTTTCAAAATTGTGAATGTTTAAAATGCAGATGTAATCTTTTAATATTATGAACTGTATTTTTATTTAGTGGACTTATTTTTATCCCTCCTTTTTTCTAACAAACATTTCTTTGGAAGTGTTGCAAATGACCCTGATAATTATGTCAATAGAATTTAATAAGAAAGATCTATATAAATAAGCCATCAATATAAAAAAGAAAGATAAAACCTCAATTTTTCTATTATGTGACTTTTCACACTATAACTATGTTCTGACTAAAGTTTCATTGAAATTGTTGTGCCAAATATGTTAAGTTTAATTTTGTTGGTGCTTTCATGAAATCTAACATATCACTGTCATTTCCTTGACTCTAATTTGAATAGAAAAAGGCATTAAGAAAAATGTTCTTCTTTTTTGTCAGTTGTGCTTATCATTCCTTGTTTGCTCCTCCCAGCAACTTTAGCTTCAGTGATTCTTTAAATTCAGTTCTTTTTGATGCCCTCAGCTATGATTTATTTTTTTAATAGCCTCATTTACATAGTATTTGAATTATTATCTCCATTAATAATTTAAACACAATTAGTAATTTCAAGAGGTATTGGTACAATGAAATGCTCGTGTTGGAAATTCTGTAATAACAAGTCATTAAAGCTTTGTTTTATAAGGTCTCTGATTCTTTGAAACAGTGAGTTTTATTGTTTTCTGTTTGTATACCCCCATACTTCAAGTTGGTTTAGAACCCAGCCAGGAATGGAAAAGTTTTTGACCTTGTACTAAAAGTTGAAATGCAATTTTTATGACTTCATTAGTTGTGAAAAAAGTTTATATTTAGTACAATGTATATATTTTCTTGAACAACTTAGCCCTTCAGGTAGGCAGCAACACCAGTGGCATTTTCCGACTAAGAATTGCTCACGAAAAATACATTCACGTTCAAACCAAAAGTAAAAGAGTCATCTATAATCCTTTAACGAGTGAACAGGAATTTATTATGGCAACACACTCGATTATCAGGTAAGTTAGTTATTGAGTATAACAATGTAGATTCTAATTTTCAGGAAAATTTAATACAGTATAGGAAAATGCAATATTTTGTTTCAGAAACGTACCATGGTTAGATTTAATAAGAATGAAGCGTTACCTGCATTTTTAAGTTAATATTGGTATAAAACTTAGGTTTGTTACTGGTATTAGAAGGAAGCTAAAATTGAAGCTCTAATCAAATAAACTTGTTCGTCATAGACTTCAAAGAGAAATAATGATATAGAAAGTGATGTTAGAGGAATTGTCATAAAAGCCTTTTATTTCATTTCTTCTTTGACATGGCACTAATTATGTGAGGCCAGAAGTTTTTTTAATTTGGAATAGGAGCTTTCACAAGTTTCAGTACGGCATTTGTCTATATATATTTGTTCTCATTTATTTTATAAAATCTAACGTGAAACAAAATCTAAAATTAGGGGGATGTGTGGTTTGGAATTACTCATTGTTCTTGTTACAACAGCATATTTCTCTTTTTGTTAGGAGTGTTATTTAGCATAAGAATGGAAGTTTTTCTTTAGAATGAGTGTATTAAATGTACTTACATATAAATGTATGGAGTAACAACTTGTTACTCATTATTTTTCAAATAGATACCTGTATTCTGTGTACAAAACATGCACTGTAAAAATTGTATATCATACTATTTATATGTATACAGAACTGAACTACAAGTATTGAACTCAAAGCAAAAATATGCATTATACATTGAGAGGTTTTAGAATAGCAATTACAGGAGCTACTTTTAATTTTCCTTTATAATATTCAAAGTAAGAGCAATGAATGACTTACACAATACAAGAAAAAGGATTACAAATGATTAAAATAACTAATAAGTAGCCTATCAATTAGTGTGAAATAATCTAGCAGAGTTTACTTCATGTAATAACTACAGTGTTAAAACTTATTTCGGGAGGCCAATATCACTGTTACATTTCAAGAAAACAGCTCTTTTGAAGCTTGCATCAAACATTCCTCTTCTTTTCACCCTCAGCACGTATTTTCCAACTGAAAAACCCTCTCAACTGCGTCAATTGACGGAATAGCTGTATTTAATGAAATGAAAATTGACTTTACAACTGTGCCTGAAAATATGTCATTGTGAACAGACTTTACAAGAGATTTATGTAGAAAAGCACCAACTACTTGAACACTTTTGTGTCCAGTACTTTTTGCTCCCTTTGTTTGCAGGCATCTGAAATAATCGTTTTCTGTTTCTGTCATGCTATCTTGATTAAGAGATTTTTGTACCATATTGTGCTTTATGTTTCTTTGCAATAATTTTTTGTCGAACTTGTTCCTTCCAATTTTCTGGAAGCCAGGAGGGCTTGAAGCTAGGATGAAAACATGCCAAAAGAATATAATCATCATTGTTGAACACATTGTCAAACCTAGAGCTTGAAGCTAGGATGAATACATGCTCAAAGAATTTAATTGTAATCGTTCAACACGTTGTTAAACCTAGTTTCTATGCTTTGAATTAATACTTCAACTAGGAGTTCACAATTTTTGCAACCATTTATTGTTCAAATCATCCAATTTGACTAGATAAACATGCAAGTTAGGAATCAGTAGTCCTATAAATGCTTTGTTCTCACACTGCAAGAATTCAAGTGCTCTAGCAATAGGTCTCATGGACCTGAATGTATTCCGAAATAAAAAGTTTATCAGCTGGATTCAGCTGCACAATGTCCAATTGATCAAATGTTCGGTTTAGTGCTTGGTCACTTGATTCACTTCCCAATATTAACTTATCCACATGACTTAGGGTATCAAACATTGAATTCCACTGAGTTGGACAAGCTTCCCCTCTATTTCTTACTCATTTGTGTCAGCAGCTACAGTGCTTCTGCTCTGTTTACTCCAAACAGTTTGAGCTTTTGCTATTGCTGACTGAGATACTTTTTTATGCTAGTATTATTTAAAACTTTATTAACATCAGTAGTAGATTCAATGTATGAGAGGCATACCTTTGATGGCCTGGCAAAATGCATATACATGAATGAGACATAACACACCATCAACAGCTAATATATCTGCTAGAGAATGAATTTCTACAGTGTCTTCATCTGAGTCATCATCTTCATCTATGATTGCATCATCATCACCACTACCAGCAACATCACTCTGCAGTTGGTCAGGAGAAATGGTCTATGCATTATTAGAGAACAGTCTGTAAAAAGAGGTTATCACTCTATAATTTTGACATTTAATAACATTATTGATAATTGATAATCCAAACACAAAAGGCAATGTTACAATCTGACATAAAACCAAGTGAAACAGAATAACCAATAATATAATATTACTCCTATCTGGATGCATTTGTTGTGTGTGTGTGTGTATAATTAACCTTTCTATGATGATGAATAGTCTGTTTAATATTTTATTCTGATTTCTTGCTAACACCAGAGATTTTATTAAGATTAAGGAAAGACTCCCAGACACGAAAGGGATAATTATATGAATGTGGGCTGTAATGTATATCTGTTATTTAGGTAATATATCTTTCATTATTTTATTCCTTCTTTCATTCATTAATTCATTCTCATACTCATGTTTATATAATACAAATTGTTCTCTCTCTCTCTCATTATATATTCTTATCGTAATATTTTAAAGCTTCTTTCTGATTGGCTAACGCATGTGTGATGTCACAAGTGGGAGTAATTCCATGGAGGCTTGGAATTGTATGTATGCAGTAATTTAAATATATAGGAAATTCACATAACTTTAAAATATGCTACTAACCTAGAAGCCTTGATGAAGTTGCTGCCATTATATATTGTAGTCTTGACAATTTTGTTTTGGTTGCAGTATTCAACATAAACTGCTTCTAGTGCCTTTCCAGTGAGATTGTATATTGTTCTTTTAAATGATGGCAGGTGATAACTGCATGTTTATATTCCAGTGTATCCTAGTTCATCCAGATCACAGTGAATCCTAAATAGGCTCTGAAATAAAATAATAGCCCATCAGTTTCCAAACATGGTTTTCATAACAAAACGGGTTAACTCCAATATTTAAAAAATAACTAGTAAATGTGATGACAATCTAATGCCCCCCAGTGGCACAGCAGTATGTCTGCAGATTTTCAGTACTAGAAACTGGGTTTCAATACAAATGGTGGACAGAGCACAGATAGCCCATTGTGTAGCTTTGTGCTTAAACTACAAAGAAACAATCTTATAAAATGTTAATGCTCCTAAATCAGGTGTGAAAAGCAAACCTTTAACATTTTATAGTTCTAAAAATGTAAGAATATTAGAAACTAAAAAATTAGAGATTATTTATTATTTAATTACCTGTTTCTATAACTAGCAGTCAGCAGTCTTGGCAACAGTCTCGACTATTGCTAATTGGGACTTGAGAAGGCTAATTTTTTTCTTATAGGCATTGTTCATTTGTCACATTAATGTTCTCCGAGAAATGACTGTTCTTATTGGCTGTCATGATGTGATTAAACTTCTAAAGGATGTGAACTCAACAACTGTAAATGACAAAAACAAAGTCCAATATTAACCCATTCAGCTTTTATTGAGACATTCGGGAGCTTTGCCCAAACATTAGAAGCTACTGTTTTTTTCTCTTTAGACATGTTGTCATTACCTTCATTTGCTTTCACTGTTCGTTTGTTTTGTGCTGTGTGTTTCACTGTAGACTCAAAAGACTCAAAGTCTTTAGCAATGGAGAAATGTTTTTGGACAAGTTTTTTAAGTTGCTTGTAGTTTTACTGTTTACACTGAACATTTTCTTTAAAGGCAAGCAAAGCAAGCATTCATTTTTTCCAGTAAATTTATAGTATTTGTCGGAATATGGCCATGGGTTACATGGAGTTTCGCTCGAACTGCTGCCATTTTTGTATGACATAGTGCTGCACATAACCTCCCACTTGGATAGCTTACAGACAGCTGACAGAAAATACACCAAAAGACATCCTTGATTAGTATGATGGTCCTCACTATGAGTCTGCAAATTCACAACTCAAATAAAACATTCTTCAACAGGATAAAACATGTTTCAGCAGGAATACATGTGCAATACTTCATTTCCGCTGCTGTTTTTCCAATATTACTGCTATTTAAAAAGTATATTATTTATACTTATGGTTATTCTTATTAGCTTATTAATTATTGTTATTGTTTTAACCAGTTATTTTTATATACTAATTATTATTGCTTATTTTGTATTTTTAAGTATATTAGTAGGCTATAATATTATTGAATTAAAAAAGTAATGAATAACACACTATTTTAACTGAACATTTAATGATTTTACCGACAACATCACTAAATTTGAAAAGTAGTGTCATTATGTTGAATGTTACTAAAAACATGATGTTGTTAGTAATGACGTTACTGCCCAACAGTGAAGAAACAATCAAGAAAACTGAATCTTCAATTTGATGTTATTGGAATGAGAAAATACAAAAATGACAGCCAATTGGAGAAAAAAGATTGGAGATGTAAACAGATATTGATATATATATATATATATATATAATTGAAACTGTGAAATTTATCACAAGATTTGAATAATAGAAGTATTTTTCATTATTTTCTCTAAAGATGTAAAGCTTAAATTTCTGAGACAACAACTCTGTACACAGATTAGCTGTCTTACTCGTGCATCTGCCTAAGAGACTTGCATGCCACTAGCCTAGAGGCAACTCCAACTTCACATCTTTTTATATGAACAGCACTGGTGCATGATGATGTCATACAACAAAAGCCCACCATCATAAGGAGAATGACACTACCTCCATGCACATGCACTTGTGATAACTTCATTCTTTTCCTCAGCATTGTATTGAACAGATGTGTTTAAATTTCCTGTTTGAGTTCAACTTGTTGAGATTTTCATTGTCTTTAGCTTTTGTTTAAAAAGCCTTAATTTCTTATTGTGAGTTCTCAAAATACTGTGGGTTTTACTTAGTTCTGTGTGAGTGATTTTGTTCACACACTAGCCTTCTTTCTACTATGACTTCTGGAGTTTCATTAACAGTTGGGGACATTGCAACCATTGTTTAATGTGTTGTGTGGATTACCACATTCTTACTTGGGCCTCCTACTCCTGCCCTGGTAGCCAAAATACTTTCTCCTTAATTGGAGATGATCAAATGGACTACCACTTTAACTTGATTTGCTTTAGGTAGTGCTTTATCATTCAATAAATGGGTTTAACCTTCCAGCCTTTTTCTGGATTTCAATCTCAGGTATGTTCCTTTCTTAATCTTTTGCCAATGTTCTTTATTATTTCTCGTTTTTACTCCATGTCCCACATTTCTTGGGGTTTATCTTGTCTTTCCTCCATGGATTTATTAGGATTTAAATTGTTTCTTTTTTTAATAGTTCCTCTCTCCCACCCAGCTGTTTCACCTACCCTTGTATTCTTGACTCTGTGTCCTGACTTTTAGACTTCTTTCTTTTCTTTTCTAGATTCCCTGTTCTTGGTATCTATGTGGTAAGGGTAAGCTTGGTGATAAGACCCTCTACTTTCTATTTTGCTTTCTAGTTCCCCATTTTGCCTTTACCTCACTCACCTTCTATATTCCCTCTCCTAACTCTGCCCTTCATCTGTGGCACTTCACCGTGTTTCAGATTAGTTTTTGGTAGATGTTCATTCCCTTCTCTCAGTAGATGTTCATTCCCTTCTCTTTGCCAGCTATACTTATTTTACTTCTGCTCCTTCCCTCCTTACTTTGTTCCCCTGTTGTGAGAACTTATTGTGTTGGGTTCCATTCCTTTTTACTGTACTTCTTCTTCCTTCTTGTGTACATGGTTTTTGTTGAGCTCTCTTTCTTTGCCCAGATATCTTCTGCCCTCATTAGCTTCCCAGGTTTTTCTTTCTTGCCCTTGCACTTTATTCCATATCTCATCTGGATTGGACTACCTCTAAACTTCCCATTCCACATTCCTGGCCTTTATCTTTTTCTCCTCCTTTCTGCTTCATCAGTCATCTTGTTAGTGACTATTTGAAATGTATGACATCTCTTTTACTGCTATTGGTCTCTCAGTCGTTTTTCATTTTTCCAACTTGGTTTCTCTCCTTGCTTCTCTTCCTATTTCATTTTCTCCTCCCTTCAATCCTGTCTGTTTTTTTTCACCTGGTATGCAGTTGGCCATGGTCGATGTATCAGACACCTTCCTACACATCACTCTTGCTCGCCCTTCATAGGTATTCTACATTCCAACTATCATATCTGAGTCTTCTCATTCTTTGATCTTCTCTTCAACTTAATGTTGGTCGTTTTTGTCTTTATTGGTATTGTGAGGGCCTTAATTTGCCATATTCATGGCCTAGGACTGGCATTCTTTTTCTTAGATGATTGACTTTTGTTGGCCCATTCTCAGATGGTTTCCTTTTCTTATTCATCCCTTCTTTAACTGGAGGCTACTTAGACTGAGGGGACTTAACCTTAGATCTAAGTATTTTCTCATGCCCACTCAATATTTTGTACTTCTGGGAATTTTCTTCGTTACTTGTCTCAGCTGAGTTCAACCTTCTTTTCTTTGTCTGCAAATAATAACATTTCTGGTTACCTTGTTTTGCACTTTTTATTTTCTTCCTGTGTGAGAGGTTCTTTTGCTTTTAGGAATTGTCATGATGACTGGACTGTGCCTATACTACTTTTGGCATTCTCTTACTGCTACTCAAACTGGATCTCTCTCTTCACCGATGCTTCCTCCTCTGACCGAGGAATGTCTCTGGACAAAGGCAGAACTTCTGGGATTTGGATGTGGGACAAGTGTTCATTCCACATCAATGGACTCGACCTTCTTGTTGTTTGTTGAGCATCATCCTATTCATATCCCTACTGATCAATCACTTGGTCATGTTCCACTCAGTTAGTGCCATGGTCATTTCTTGCATCAGTTGTCTGAGAGGCACCCATTCCAGGACCTTTGTATTTGGGTGTTGGACATACACTTGTAGGCTCATTCACAATGGGTTTGACTTATCATCTGTCATTTGCTGGGAGCTTAGACCTATGTTTATCATTCACCCTCCCCCTCTTCCTCCACCCAATTTCCCCTCTGTTGCTTTATCCTCATACGTCCATTTTTTTATTGTGGGATATCTTCCCTCCATATCCCAGTGGGACTTGTCAAATCCATCATCATTGCACTATGTTTGTCTATCACTGAAAGTAGTTGGTCTTTCATCATTGGTCCATCCACCACTCCTTTATTCCTGGTTGTCCTACTGTGAAACACATTTCTGCCTTTTTTACCTAGTTGTTTGTTCACTCTTTGCTAGTTATCAAACAAACTTGTTTATGGCCTTCTTTCTTGGTACCTCAATGTGTTTCCTTCCCTGTACTCTCCATCTGTTATGCTTCTTCTTTTTTCTTGAACCTCCTCACCTGACTCCCATGCCTAACTGAGGGGGGATTTGCACACTCCCACATATGCCCTGTTTGAACTGTTGTTTCTTGCTTTTGTACCATCTTTCTCTCCAATCTTATTTCATTCATATCACCTGCAGTAACCATAACGTCATTGTCTATGCTGTGGATGCTTCTCACACCCTTTTCCATCACACTTATATACTTCTCTCTCTGGATTGATTTGCCACCTTTCTCATTCTCTTGCATCTCATCTTCACTGGCTGTGGGACATTTTCTCCAAATGGGCATGTGAATGACTCTCCACACATGCATCTCTTCTAATCTACACCATCTGGCACTTTAGTCTGCTGATGGATTTCAGCTTCAACTGGTCACCATTCATCAATCACTCCACCATCTTTGAGAATAATGCATACAACTTCCTTTACAGGACTCCTTTTTAATTTCATAGGATCCCACAAGGTGGCTGGTGTTGCCTCCTAGGGTATTCTTAACCAAACATTGAGCCAGGATAACAGAAAGCACCCATACCATCTGCCCTAGCTCTACCAGTGCCCACTGCAAGATGGAATTTTTGCAAGACCGTTTGAGGTATTCTCCTGGTACACATATTTACTCAGTTGTCTGATCCAGACCATACCTATTCCATGGCCTATCATCAGAAAAGCGTTCTGCCCTCTTTGGCTCGTGCTTGCTAGCCTTTCAAAATAGGGTTTTGCAGTCACCATTACATTGTCTCCGGTAAAAAAAAATTCTGGCAGAATGTTTAATGAGGATCTGGGTCTTCCTAACTCAAATTCTCTTCCCCTTCATCAAATGGAACATGGGAGACCCTTGCTACTTACCAATTCCTAGGTGCTTGGGTGGTAGACCATGGAAAATCCTTACTGGTTTAGCTTGGTGCAGTATAGTGGGAAGTGGGTTGGTGGTGACATTGTCAATGTAATACAGGTCACCCCTCTAAACCATAACTCATATCACTTGTGCCCTCCTCCTACAGCCAGAGCCTTTTCAGTTGAGTAGAGATGAGTACATAATGTACATTAAACATGGCCCACATCTAATGTGCCCTCCTCCTGCAGCTTGTGTCTGTTAAGTAGTGTTCAGGTGAGCACACACTATATGCTACCATAATACTTAACTGATGTACCCTCCTCCTGCAGCCAGTGTCTATACATTAGAATCAAGGCAAGCATACAATATATGAAACCATATTGCATAACTAAAATGTCTTCCTCCTGCAGCTACTCTGTTCAGTAGAGTTTAGGTGAACACACAAGGTAGGTGTGAACATTCCCCAACCACAATATACATATTGGCTTGTCGACTGCTAATATACAAGTGCTCAGATATTCATGTTCTCATTCTACCCATCCCAGTGACACAAGGGGCTCATATCCCTTCCTCCCTACATTCTGGGCAGAGAGTATATTCTGGTCAAGACAAAATGTGATCTCCCGTGGATATGCCCCTCTGGAGTCCTTGCCATCAGGTGTTACACTCAATGGGCTTTTATTCATATGCTTTGTGAAGGGAGCTCATCTAGGTACATTTTTGCATTGGCCACTCCACCAGTTCATGGTGGGATTCTAGCTAATCTGTGTGAAGAGGTGAGTTATCATCTCGGAAGTTAACAATTTCTTAATTTGAAAATGTATTTTTGATACATATTCATCTCTACACACATTCCAATCCATTCTTCCTACTTTTAGTGCACATTTTTCTCTTGTTAAAAATTGAAGTTATCATGAGTGCAAGTGCATAGAGGAAGATAGCTAACATGCGTGTGGTGAAGAGTGTCTATCAGAAATACATTTTCACATTAGCAGAATGTTAACATTTGTGTCAGTAGATATATGTATTGTCATTATGTAACACTTATGTATTAATCTCATGTTGTAGTAAATTTATTAGCGTAATGTTTTTTTTTGTTACTCTTTTATCATTTAGTAGAGATCCTGACTTGCCAGATGTTAATCAAAATAATGGTAGTTCTTCAGCCAGTGGAGGTTCTTCATCTAGCAGTGTAGGTACCAGCATCCTTACTTCCAGTGCCACAGCAGTCACTACTGTTAATAGCTCTTGTTCCAGTTCCCTCTATTCTAGCCTTACATCATTGCCTTCGGCACATCATGACTTCAGCCTAGATGATCTTGGCCTTGACTTTTTTTCATCATCGAGCTGGAAACTGACTACAGAAAACAGTAGGGAAGGGCTTCCTACAAGCAGCACTGTACCCAGTCTTTCCCCAGCAACTAGTGCCAGCAGTGGAAGTAATAGTAGGATGACTTTGGGCTCAATTCAGAAGGTCCAGTTGTCTAACAGTGCCTTCACAACTGAAATGTCACCTGTATCAAGGTCACTAACTCTTCAGGTGACCTCTCCAGGGAGCACTGGTGTTAGTCGAGTAACTTCACTTAGTTCATTCTCATTTAATTCTCTTCAGTGCCCACCTTCAAATGGACGAGCAACACCTGTGACAATGGGACTGAAAAAATGGAAAATGAAACTTCAGATGTTAATTCTGGTAATAGAAATATCTCTTTGATAAGTTTCTCAGATCACCAGATGTCACTTGGAACCAATCCAAAGCTTAGGAACTTATTGACTCAGAGCTCTGAGAAAACAGACTCTTCTTCTGGAATAACTTCTCCATTATCAAAAATGTTCAATGTTTCCCAGAGTAGTCTAGCTACAGGGCCCGAAAATGGTTTAGAAATGAGAGAAATGCCTGTGGCAACTGGTGATGACAATTCCAATGGTTCATCGAGAAATGTCATATTACGAGAACTTCTAAATCAAGATGAAGATGGTGTGTTGGAACTTCCTGGTAAATCTCGCTTCCCTAGTGGCAGTGGTAAAAGTGGAATGTCTTTAGATATGGACAGTTTCAGAAGTGATACAAATAGAGAAGCCTCCAAGAGGCCTGTCAACAATAATAATATGCTTAGAAAGGTGAGTTATCTTGATTAGTCATTATAGTCATTTTAATTCTTAAATTAAGTCTCACTTTTATGCATCAGATGTGTCAATATGATTATTGTGATTTCCAATATAAACCTTCTTAAAACAGTTGTCTCAGATCTATTGCCTGAAGATAAAAAAAACAAAAAACTACTTACTATTTTGGAAGAATGAGTTTATCATTTAAAAAATGCACATTAAGAAGTAATTCTAGAGCCATTGATTTGTAATTGTATACTAATATTTATCAGCTGTATGACTCATAGAAGTAAACATTTTATAGCCATTGAGATTCACATTTGAAATGATTGATTACTGATATGAAATATTCTATCAATAGTTCTCGTGGAAAATATTGTATTGGTGTTATTAAGTATATCCTTTGGCAGGTTGTGCCTGATGGGTATCATTTGTTGACATTCTGTGAAACTTACTAGGCATTATTATTCCACAACTTTTCTCAGTAAATCTGTACTTTAGAGAAAAATCTGTGTTATTAAGTTTATTGAGAAAATGATTGTTATTAAAACCCCTTATATACACAAATATACAAACACACAACTTAAAAATTATAGCGTTGGTGGTAGCATTGGGCAATGAACTTGATTAATTGATATATTAGGTCGTCAAGAAATTAATGTCACATTTTGAAACACTTTCATTAACCACCCTCCAGAAAACGTACATCACTTATAATAGTTAAACAAACTGCCTAAACGTCACGTTATTGTAGCCCATATAATGTGTAAAGTTTAGTATACTTTTACCCCTTAGAGTGATGGCACACGACGAGACACACGTTCAGCATATAATGCTGTTTGAATACAAGAAGGGTAAAAACGCCTCTGTAGCCACAAAAAATATCAAAAAAGTTTATGGAAATGATTTGAACATTTGTAAGTGTCAACAAAGGTTCAGCAAATTTCTTTCAGATGACTTT